TATTATATTACATTGCTCCCTTGCCGGGATAGTTATTATAACATCTTTCTCCCTTGCCGGGATTATGTTGTGTATTGTGTTGAAAGAAATGGGATCGTGTGGCACGCCAACCACGAGTTATTATGAAATGGGATCGTGTGGCACGCCGACCACGAGTTCTTATGAAATGGGAACGTGTGGCATGCCGATCACGTGATATTATTATAATGGGAGCGTGTGGTACGCCTACCACGTGATGTAAGGAAATGGGATCGGGTTGCACGCCTGCAATGAGAGGAAATTGAAATAAGTGAAAGTGATTTGTTTCCCTTGCCGGGATAGTTATTATAACATCTTTCTCCCTTGCCGGGATAGTTATTAAAATAAGTGAAAGTGATTTGTTTCCCTTGCCGGGATAGTTATTATAACATCTTTCTCCCTTGCCGGGATTATGTTGTGTATTGTGTTGAAAGAAATGGGATCGTGTGGCACGCCAACCACGAGTTATTATGAAACGGGATCGTGTGGCATGCCGACCACGAGTTATTATGAAATGGGATCGTGTGGCACGCCGACCACGAGTTATTATGAAATGGGATCGTGTGGCACGCCGACCACGAGTTCTTATGAAATGGGAACGTGTGGCACGCCGATCACGTGATATTATTATAATGGGAGCGTGTGGTATGCCTACCACGTGATGTAAGGAAATGGGATCGGGTTGCACGCCTGCAATGAGAGGAAATTGAAATAAGTGAAAGTGATTTGTTTCCCTTTATTCTGTGTTAGAAGAAATCAGAGGTAGTTTCTCTTGTTATTCCTGATATTCCGTTTATCTGCTTCCCCATAAGCATGTTCCCCCTCCCAGCTTTAATTGCTTACTTTTCGCTATTATTTTGTTGTACTTGTATATATATATCTGCACAGGTTTATCTGGTAGTTTGGTCTAGCCTCGTCACTACTTCACCGTGGTTAGGCTAGGCACTTACCAGCACATGGGGTCGGTTGTAGACTGTTCATCCACAAAATAATTTAAAAGGAAAAAAAAAGTGGAACAGAATTTTACCATATATACATTAATGTTGTTCTTCTTCAGTATGTCCATATATAGCCCTTGAGGCCTTGATATAGATGTAACCCAAACGATTGTAAGCAGAATAAAGCTGTTGCAAGAGTAAGCCACTTCGGCTTGGTAAAGTTCCATTCCACTGCGCACCTCTCATATTAAAATTTGTCTACTGACATCACAAGTGTACTCCGAGTTCAAAGCCTACCTAGGAAAGTAAAAAGCACTCACTTTGTTTAGATAATTGATAGTGACTAATGGAGTATCCGTGCCATCCCACATGCAGAAGCAGCTGTATTCAAAATTATATTGCAGAAGCGTTTTCCTTTTCTGATCCTTTCCTAAGGAAGGTAAATCAGTCAAATCTATGAAGAAAATGAAGCATATCCTGAGTATGTACCAAGAAAATTGTAAGCATATTCTAAGGGAGAATATTAAATTCAAACAAAAAGATTAAGAGAGAAAAAAGAGACACAACTACTATAATATAAATAGCATTTGTTCTGTTTTGTTGGAGTACGTTTCTGTGATTGGATCAATGCTTTTGAAGTAAAATTGATATTTGTATGCATCGTTACAAAGATTATGCACCGTTACAAAACTGATGTGGCTTTTGGTATTCCTAATTAATGGGAATGGTTGTGAGTATGTGACTTTTAGTAACGGTTGTGACTTCTGATTTTTCAAACAGAAGTTGAATTGAGTTTTATAAAATAATAAGGAGAAAATTGCAAATAAATGAGAAAAAAGATAAATAGGTTTCTTGGCATTTGAGATATGCCACATCACTTTTGCTATTCCCTGCTTTATATTAATATATATATTACAGGCCAAAACCTCCCTCTATCTCCATCTAAGTTGAATTGGTTTTTGTTAAGTCTGCTAAGCTAACACTAACCTCCTGCTATGAGCGAGGTCTAAGGAACGGCCAGACCCTAAGGGTCTATCGTACGCATCTTTACCCTGCATTTCTACAAGGTTGTTTCCAATGCTCGAAGTTAGTATAATATAATGAAGAAAACCTTTCAACTTCAAGTGTAATTTTCTTATTTCAAGAATTCCAGTGTTAGTTTTTGTTTTATTTGCGGCCTGCAGAGACTTATAAATCAACGCAGGCAATGACCAGTTTGCATACCTTTTGGTTTATTTAGTCAGTTACGTTTAACAGATGATTGAGGTAGCCAAGTGTGCAACCTAACAGCCTCTATTTCTGTGTGAACAGCTGCTTTCTTGGTACTAATTCATTAGCACTTTCCATTAAATTTCACAGATTATATAAGCAAAAAGTTAGAAGCGTGACATAGAAAGTGGAAAAACAAATTAATAAGTAGGCAAATAGACGACTATGGATAATTCAGGTGCAATCCTAAAGTCAAAGGAGCATGCGTGAGAGAGAGAAACTTGGCCAGAAAGAGGAGCTTCGGACTATAGCAGAAATAATATTGATACAGCTGCCCAGAGATTTTTTGACCGGGTTATATGCATAAACCCCGGAGAAATAGGGAGGGAGGAATGAGCTAATAACTACATTAATAATTTACAGCAAATAGGGAGTATACGCTACCAGTTCACATTGCAGATTCCAGCGATGCCAGTCCTGTTCATCCATCACCTGTTACAGCGAAAAGGTACTTAGTTTATCGTTGACAACGAAGATGAATGCACATTTTAAACAATAAACAAGCCCACCCCTACAGCTAGCCAAATTGAAAACATCTTATGAATCAATCCTGCATTGAACGGATAAAGAGACAATTCAACTCTCTCCCTAGCTGTCGTCACAGTATGTAGGAGTGATGGAAGTTCATGAAACCAGAATAATAGGCTTACCCCATTGGTGTCTTTTCACTCTGACTTGAGCAAAAAGAAAAAGTACTACAATAACATACACAGCATTATCCCACACCGTGGGGTCTGGGAAGGTAGTGTGTACGCAGACCTTACCCCTACCTTGTGAGGATAGAGAGGTTGTTTCCAATAGACCCTCAGCTCAGGATAGTATAAGTAACACATTAATGAAAATACAGGCAACAAGGGACAGTATCAAAAAGTCATATAAAAGCAGAATAACACAACAAGACAGTAAAATAATCAACAATGAAAGAAAACAACGGTTAGTCATAAAACCTACTACCCGCAGAAAACGAGACTCCGTGCCAATACTGATGTTATGAACAGTCTACACTACCTACTCTACTACTCTAATTCTCGGCCTCCATACCTAGGGTCATGTCTTCGGTCAGCTGAAGCTGCGTCATGTCTTGCCTAATCACCTCTCCCCACCTCTTCTTTGGCCTACCTCTACCTCTCCGTAGGAATGTCTAACCTCTCACACCTGCTCACCGGGGCGTCTGTGCTCCTCCTCCTCACATGACCAAACCACCTAAGCCGCGCTTCCCGCATCTTGTCCTCAATAGAGTCCACTCCCACCTTATCGTGAAGAACCTCATTTCTGATCCTACCTAACCTGGTGTGCCGCACATCCATCTCAACATCCTCATCTCTGCTACCTTCATTCATTTTTTGGACATGAGCACTCTTAACTGGCCAACACTCAGCCCCATACAACATCGTTGGTCTGACCACCACTTTGTATAACTTACCCTTAAGTTTCGGTGACACTTCTTGTCGCACAAAACACCGGAAGTAGATAAAAAAAATGAAAGAGTTATAAATCATGACAGAATTGCCACAACTTACGGCGGGAGATCCGCACGAAGAACTGGAAATCCTCAAGAAACTGTTACTAGTTTATATCAATCCCTATCCTCCCTAGATTGTCAAGACGTAACCTTTTCATAAGCATTTTAAATAAGATGCAAAAATCCACCTTTACTGCCTGCCTGCGCACATACAAAATAAATAAATAAATAAATATAGAAATAACTAAGAGCTCGACAAGGGTTTAAAATGGTAAACAACGTGGAAATGGGTCGCTGCTGCACTCCTGGGTAAATGTTCGGGGGTTAAAGTTTACTATATCACACTAAAAAAGGAGGTAAAACTTTTTTATCAGATATCCCCAGAGGGATAAAAGGAGGCAAAAACCATTTTAAAGAAAAGAAGCCTAAGGAACTCAATTCCACTCCGCCTGAAATTAGTGACATAAGATCCCAACAATGACAAGAAAACATTTTAAAGCACTATTCGTTGCTGTTCTGAACTTGGTAAAAACCACTGCATGACTATTTCTGCTGCAGATGCAAGATTTATGAAACAGCCCAAGCATTAAGAAACAGACAAGCAAAGCAGAACCCTCGAGGCAATACAGAAATCCTACATAGCAAAGGCAAACGAGCCAAGAAAGGAATGACGATTGGAAAACAAATGACATTACTCTGCCTAAGAGGTAATTCCGCCTATAAACTTTTCCGTACAGCAAACCATACAGAAAAGGAATTTAATAGTAAGGATTTTGCAACATGTGATATTAAGATGCCTAAGTGATTGAACATTTAATACAAGCCCTTTTGTACATAATAAGTAATCCAAGCAGGCAGTAATCAATAAGATCAATAAAAAGAATAGCTATCTGCCCTCAATCGAATAACAATGTACATAATAAAACAAAAACAGGAATACATGGTCAAAGTATCCAAGTTCTAAAACATTGTTAAAGCAAGAACAACACATTACCTGCAATACAGGAGAAATGCCAGATCAAACATCAGTAACTGCAGTGGACACAGTTTTATCATCACCAGCCCCTGTAGCAAATGACAATTCTTCATCACCATACTCTGTTGCAGTTGACATGTCTTCATCTCCACCTTGCTTGATACTGGAGTTCTCTTCTTTGCCTGAAGCAGGAAGAGAAACTATTAATACGGAAGAGAAACAATTTGAAAGTGCTACTAGCAGAATTCGGTGCTGCACACATAGAAACTTCAGAAGATAAACAATTTGAGATTCCACTTCATTTTTAGATGTGCCAGCACTGTGTTGAGGTTCATTAAATGTAGAACTTGATGTTGAAATATCTTCGGCAGCATCACTTCCCTTTGTCGCTTGGCCTTCAACAGTAAGATCTTGAATTGATATATCCTCGGACTTTTCTGCCACCTGACCTGAATCTATTGAACCATCATTTATCCTTACTGTGTTTTCCTCGGCAACTAACAGCAGATCTACTACCTTTTCAGATGTTCCAGCAATTGTGCTAGATGGAGGTTTTTTTAGTTCACCATTTAAAACATCTACATTATCTTCAGATCTTCTGCTCTCATTTGTCTCAACAGACAAATCATCACGGCACTGAACACTAGCCTTCTCCGTTTGAGAAGGTACAATGTCATCAACTTCATGTGACTCCTCACAAATTTTAGTTCGCATGTCTTCCACCATAACCTGTTTTAATTCTGGGTGATTTTCAGATGACCCAACAGCTGGACATAGTTGAGACACATAAGCTTCAGAATTAGAAAGATCTTCCTTTACATCAGAACTCATGTTACCCTGTAATTCAGCTACACAATTCATGTCATGGTTGCTGCAAAATGTTTCTTTTGGAGCCTCAACAGCTTCGGGATTTGAAGCAATCCTAAGTGAAAGGGATTCCTCCCGAGCACCAGATTTCGTGCTTCGCAAAGTCTCTACAAAATTATCAACAGGTATCATTTCAAATTCACAAGGTGTACAGGAATAAATTTGCTTTTGTCTTTCAAACTCGTTATCAGATTGATTATCCGAAATAGATAAAGAATAGTCCTTGCTACAAATACCTGGGTGCAAGTTTGCTTCAGCAATTTCTTGTTTTTCAGGTTCCCTTTGTGATGTGCCAACAATTAAACTGGATTGGGACTCATTACTAGGTCCGAATCTTTCATATCTGGACCTTGTGCTGCAAGATCGCTCTCACATTTTTCTGTAAGGGAGTCTGCAACATTAGCTTGCTTTTCAGAAGTTTCTGGAGTCAAAGATTTTTCTTCCTCCACCATACTTAAATCTTTAGTTATCTCCAGTGAAGCTTTAACTGATAACTTGTCTGGTTCACAAACCTCGGCCATCACAACTTTATCAGAATGTGTTCTTTCTCCCGATATTTCTCCCGATACTTCAAGTTTGTCCTCCTGATGAACATCAACTAAAGCTTCTGTCTTGGTAGATGGAGATCCAAAGGATGTGATTCCCTTCAAATTTTGACCGTCAGTCCCCAATGCAGGTGAAACAACAGTCTCCTCCTCTATGGTGTCTCCTGTCTCCTGTTCTTTTGTGAGTCCACCACCAGCACGACTCTCAATGCTGGCTACCTCAGTTTTACTAACAAATGATTTGTCAAGAGAAAGATCCTCCGTCTGCAGCAGGTCACCATCTTTTTCTGCAGCCATGTTTAACCCACTCTTACCTGCCAGTGAAATTTTGCATGAATCCTCCTTATCGAGTAAAGCAGCATTCGTGCAATTGCTTACATGGATTTGAACTAATGTAGATTCGACATAACTTAGAGATGATGCCTGTGATTCACCAACCTTCATGCATCTTCCAGCTTCCTTTTCATCATTTTCATTCTTACAATCACTCTCACATTTGTTATTCATAGCCTCAATTTTACCACCTTCACCTTTAGAATTAGTTTCACTCTTTTCAGCACCTTCACCCTTAGAATCACCTTCACTCTTCTCAACCAGACAATCACTAACCTAAGCCATTGATCCTGAAGTTGGTACAGCCAACTCATCACAAGAAGATACACGTAAAATTGGAGGGCTGTCATATTTACTTCTCGAATATCTCTCTTCTTTGGTCTCTGATAGTGGAGTTACCAAGGGCACCTCTCTCGTCATAGCATTTTCTTTTTCCTTGACATTGTCCACCGTGCAGAGGAAAGAGTAACATGGGATTGCGATGGATCTGTTTGGATAGCATCAGACTGTGGCTGAACTTCATTACACACTATATCTTCAGGAATTTTCCCAACAGAGAGAACTGAAGGCGTCTGAGATGCAGCTGACTGAACTTTCATTATTTGTTGATCCTCACTGAGAACCTCCTTAGTTGTAGCAGCTTCACGGCCTATATTAACAGTATCTACCTGTTCAGCAACACGACCACCGGATTGTGATGTGTCGGATTTGATAGCATTGCTATGTAGCTCAACTTCAGAAAGCACCATAGCTTGAGGGATTGGTCTTGCACTAGAATCTGGAATCACTTGAGATGCATCTGACTGGACAATGGCTCTTTGTTCCTGCACTTCATGGCGAACGTTTTTAGTCATAGCAGTTACAAAATTTGCATTAGCAGTATAAACCTCTTCAGCAGATACACCAACCTGAGCAGGAGAATCGCCAGAGTTGACCATGTTAATCTGCAGCTCAATAGGAGGACCAGAGCAACTTCGAGGTGCAACGGATTGGATCACAGTTGCCTTTCGCTGAGCATCATCGAGAACCTTTTCAGCAGTAGCAATATCTGAGTTTACATTATCACCCACCTGACCAGGAACCAGAATAGCATGGGATTGAGATGCATCTCGGTTGATAGCATTGTTCTGTGGATCAACTTCACTACGGACCATATCTTGGATTTGTCCCCCAGAAAAATCTGGAGTCCTTTGAGATGCAACCGACTGGTCTACAACTACTTGTTGAGCTTCATTCTCACGCTTGCTTCTTGTAGTTGGGCTTCCTCCCAACGGATAACCTGGTTCTCTTTTGTGGGGGTTCAATTGATCTTGGATCCTGAGCACCTAACCCCTCAGTAACAGTTGTGGTGATCAAATCCTGTCTCTTCCCCCTGCGCCGTGGTGGCTCACTTCCAGTTTGAGGCTTGCATCCTCGTCCTCTACCTGGCTTAGGTGCAGTGGGAGGAGTGTTATACTGTGAAACCGATGAAATTGCAGGCAATGGTGGCACTGGATCGGAAGTATGACCAGTTCCTACACCAGAATCTCCTTGACCAATATTCTTCAAGATAGAAGAATCACATAAAGAATCATCATGACCTGAAATAGCAGAAGAGCAAGAAAATGTCCCCTTATCTGATCCAGAATCTAATTTGCCTGTTGCATTAGATGCTAAAAGAAGAGGAGCAGGTGCTGACAAAGTTGGACCCATGCTGGAACAGGAGGATGCAACAGCAGGAACAGGGCAAACTGAACTTAGTTCCATGCATGCAGAAGATGATGCAGGAACAGGAGCAGGTAACACTGAACCGGAGTCCTTGGAGGTTAATGTAAGAAGAGGACCAGGTGACGCAGAACTTGGTTCCACGCTAGCCGAAGGTGAAGTATGAGGCACAACTGAAATTGCATTAGCTTGCGGAGTAGCTTCGGTCTGGGCAGCAGAGAAGGAAAGATGGTCTTCTGAATGGTTTTTTGAGGATGAACGGATTGCAGGTGAAATTGAACTAGGGTCCTGGCTGGAAGAAGATGATGGAATAACAGGAACAGTTGAAACAGAGATTACTTCCTTGCTAGTGGAAGATGATGCAAGAGGCATCATAGAAACTGAATTCAGTTCCTTATTAGCATCTCTCACGGAAGCAGGAGCATGACCAAGGTCTTTTGAACCCAAACCTGCCACTACCTGTGGTACCAGATCAGGCTTGCCCATTGAGGGAGGTGTTGGAGGCATATGGTGACTTGAAGAGCTCAAAACATTCACACCTTGTGCTGCCGAGACAGGCTCACTTATTGCTTGAGTTGGAGGGGAGAGAAACGCCTCTGTTGTAACACTCTGTCGTTTTCCTCTACGCCCTGGAGCTTCTCCTCCATTTTCAACCTTCCGACCTCGCCCTCGACCTCGACCTCGCCCTCTACCTCGTCCCCTACCCTGCCCACTTGTAGGAGGACAAGGAGGACCAGACAGAGAAGCAACAGAAGGAACAACTGGCTGATGGCAAGGAGCAACAGCAGTAGCACTCTCTAGGATAGTTGCACTGGTACTTTCCACAGAGGAAGCACAAGGAATGGACACAGAAACAGGCCCAGAAGTTGCCTGACTGGTAGAAGTATTTTCTGCAACTGATATGCTATCCACCTTTACAGCTGCGGTTGCTGAAAGAACGACAGGGGACGGTGAGATTTCAGTCACTACTGCTGTCCTCCTTGGCCTTCCGCGGCCCCGTTTAGATGGCGGAGTCACGGTCACAGGGCTTTGTTGAACTATCGGCCCAACAAGTTGTTGGGGAAGCTCTTGTGCAGGCTGTTGCGGAAGTTCTTGGGCAGGCTGTTGGGGAAGTTCTTGCGCAGGCTGCTGGGGAGGAGATTGATCCGGTGCTGGTGTTTGTATTTCACCAATGGCAACAACAGGAGCAGGACAACTGCCAGAGACTGGAAGCAATTTCTTTTCCTGAATTTCTTCCCTTGGAATAGGTGATTGAGGAGACTCAGCAAGGCACATTTTCTCAAATTCCTCTTCTGTCCATTGCTCTTCATATGAGCGAACCTAAGGAAGAACAATAATTAAAATGATCAAATTAATGGATAATAAATTATTTTACAGATAGTATAAGCATTGATAAAAAAAAATACGGTTGCAAGTGCCTGCAGTCTCCAAAAGTATAACCAACCTCTCTTGTTCTTTTTCCACGTCCATAATGTTGGATATCAAGGCCCCCAAGACTCTCACCTTTCCGTTTTAACCCAGGGTTAGGAGCCACAGCTGGCTTATCATTTATTTTCATTGCTTCATAAAATGGTTTCAAGTCTTCATCAGTAAGAAGCCGAGAGGGCAAAGGAGGAATGGGCTCTGAACTTTGTGTTACACTTTCTGAACACAACTTCTTCCAGACTTCCTGCATTACCAAGCGTGAATTAGTAAATGATGATATCAATTAGCAGGATATCCATCCAGAAAATGAGAGAATTAAATAGCCTGGAATGTACTGGCATGATTACCATCTCTTCTTCACGCCTTCCATCAATTGATTCAAATATATCAATCTCTGGCTCACTGCACATGGGGAGTAGAGATATCAGAGTTATGCACCTGATGGCGAGTAGGCCTAATGGTTCTTGCAAATACATGTCAAATACATTAGAAATATAGCACCGGTGCCATAGAATAAAAAGGAATTGACACTAGCCAGCAAATATAACCTCCAGCTCCCAACAATGAAAGAAGAAAAAAGGGGAAGGGACAAAATGGTAGTCAGCACTGAGCTTCAAATGCCGCTTTTCTGACAAATGAAATATTGGTCCTAATAGTGATGTGGTTTTGAGATGCAGTTTCAGTGCCATATTGCCTGGAATGAACTAGATAAAATCATAACACAGCATATTTGCTCTTCTGGTGTAAGAAATGTCATATTACGCAAGTCACTGGAAATAATTTTAATGTATCAATGAATTCACAGCAGAATAAGAGCGCATTTGCTGCTACTTACCTTCGCGCTATGAGATCATTCAAAGAATCATCATCAAGAACGGGTGCAGCTTCCTCTTTTTTGCTTTCACGCAAGAGGGACTCCAAGTATTCCCTTCGATCCTCCGCACTACAACCAAGTTAAAATACGTTTATAAGGACAATGTATTCTCCAAAGTAGTCAACAGGTTGAGCAGATTTTCCAATTCTTAAAACTTCCTTCAAAAGACCTTGTGTTATTATCAAAGAATCCAGCAGTAATGCTTTGGTTAGCGACTCCAAGTTTGTGCTCCGCAGCAGCTCTAACTTGTTCCTCAACGGTTTGGACCTAATTCAACAAGGTTGTGGAAATGGACAACTTAGAGATACTGTAGGTGCAATTGTGAATGAAAATTTGGATCAACAAATTATTTACAGTATTGATACACAAATTGTGGCAAGAATTAATGTCACATATGGTTAATAAGATTTGACCCTTCCAAAGCCTTGGGCGCTCACAGCTCTGGGGGCAGACCTTCAATTCATCTTTCCATTCTATCTTATATATTAGCAGTAAGAAGTATCATTGAGAAACTCTAGAAGAACATTCAATGTTCAAGATAATCTGAACATAGAGTTCTGAAGAAACCAAAATCGCATCCACCCTACTCTATCAGGAATTCAAAGAATGCTGCAATTAATGAAGTAAAGTCCAACAGAATTTAGATTGCTTTCGTAAGAAAAATCACTTATCTAGATAATGATTGTTTAAGGACTGCACACTTAATTGTTCTACCCAATCGCAGAAAAAGGGCAAAAATTAAAACGAAGTAACTGTAGCTTTGGCTACCTAGATAACATGCTTTTCCCTACTTTGATGCCTTTTCCTTATCTGGAGCAGGCTAATGCCACCCCATCCCCCCATGGAAAGGGCAAGCATCTATTCAAAATGCTGGCAAAGCTTCTCAAGCTTCACATTTGATGTTTTAAAAGCTAAGACTGAGTTCTCTGCATTGCTAAAAGGAATGTTGCCTCTCAACCAGTCAACCCAGAGTATAAATGAAAGAAAGCAGACACGAGGTGAATTATAGTACAATTACAGATGAATGGCCACTAAAAGAACTGGCTTCATCTAACAAACATGCAAGGACTAAAAAATAAAAGACACTTCATTAAAATCATATCCAGTTTCCATACATGTCGTAGAACAAAGTCTTATCCCGCTTCACAAAAGGAAACACAGTTCAGCTACTAAACTGGAGAACTAAGATTACATGGGGCATGAATGGTGCTAGTACCCAGAAATGACCGGATACTGAACTAAAGATACATCTTAAGAAATTGTGTGCTAACAATGCTAACTGGACAATTGAAGAAGTTCTCCCCTTGAAGAAGTTCTCCCCTTAAATTCTCTAGATAATGAAGAGGACCCAGAGTTTGAGGCATCAATTTGGGTGCACCAAAATATCATTAGGTTGAGCAAAGAGTTTGGGGTGGAATTCAAAGGGTGCGAAAAGGAAGCACTCCAATTATTCATGAAAATTGATGGAAAGAGGAAGAATTTAATGGAGTCAACATCACTGATGATGGAAGCTGTCACACCAAAGAAGAAAGGAAGCAAAGAACCGAAAAACTTAGATCTTGGAAGCAGCTTCAAAAGCAATGGCACAAGGAGCAGGGGAGGGTGTATTGTCATCGATAGTCAATGATGATTAAAATAGTATCTTGGAATGTTAGGGGACTTAACAGAGCTAGGAAGAGGGAGTTGATAAAAAATATGGTGAGTAGCTGGAAGGCAGAAGTCTATTGCTTTCAAGAAACCAAGGTAGAAGGGGAAATCAGGGAGATAGTTAGAGAATTATGGGCAAATAGATGGGTGAAATATGCTCGGTTGGAAGCAAGTGGTACTAGAGGGGGTATTCTCATTATGTGGGACAGTAGGGCATGGGAAGGGGAAGTCAGTAGTGTGGGCAGATATTCTATCACATATAAGTTCAGTGGCAAAGCTCAAGATTTTGTTTGGCATTTAACCAGTATTTATGCTCCTAATGACAGGGTTGATAGAAAAGAAGTATGGTGGGAGATAGGAGCTGCTAGGGGTCTATTCACTGGGCCTTGGGTTGTGTGTGGGGATTTTAACACTGTTAGATATCCTCAGAGAAGAAGCAGACCTTTCAGATTTCATTGATTTGCAACTACTAGGAGGAAAGTTCACATGGAAGAAAGGAACAAATTCCAACATTGCTGCTAGGCTGGACAGGTTTTTAGTCTCTGAGGAATGGGATCCTCTGACCATTCACCTGTGATGATTCAGTGTGGCAATTGGGACCAGTGAAATCTTTTTTCAAATAGGCAGAATAACATGGTGGGAGCCTTTTCATGTACTGGCAGACCTGAATTACATCCTGGCTTTCAAGCTGAAAGCCTTGAAGGGAAAACTTAAAGAATGGAGCAAGACAATTCAAGGCAATCTGAAGATACAGAAACAGCATATATTGGACCAACTTGCTGAAATTGAGGATATACAAGAACTGAGAGCTTGAATGAGGAAGAACATACAAAAAACCTCTCTATTGCTAGAATTTGAGGAAAATGCAAGGAAGGAGGAAGATAATATGAGGCAAAGGTCCAGGGCCTTATGGTTGAAAGAAGGTGACAGAATACCACCGAGTTCTTCCACAAAACTGCAAATGCCCATAAAAGATATAACAATATTGACAAGCTACAAGTCAATGGGGAAACTGTGGAGAATCCTGAAGATATCAAGAGGGAGATAATTTCTTTCTACCAAAAATTATACACAGAAGCCTAAGGGAATGCCAAACCATAAGCTCAGAGGATAATCAGATGTTATTGAGCCCTTTTGAGCCTCAGGAAATCTGGGGAGAATGTCAAAGCATGTGCAGGGGACAAAGCTCCTGGTCCAGATGGTATACTATGGCTTTCTACATTCAATGCTGGGAAGTGATCAGTCAAGATGTGATAGCTGCTGTGTCCAGAATTTTCAAGTTACTGGGGTCTTGAAAAAAGCTTAATGCCACTTTGGTGGCTTTGATTCCTAAGAAAGTTGGAGCTAAAGAACTGAAAACTTCAGACCTATCAGTCTGATAGGTAGTGTCTACAAAATAATCTCAAAACTCTTAACAGAAAGAATCAAGAAAGTAATGGGAAAGTTGGTGGACAATCAACAGATGCCTTCATCAAAGGTAGGCAAATAATGGATGCTATTTCTCATTGCAAATGAGAGTGTAGATGCTAGAATGAAGAAGCAAAGAACCTGGTATCCCTGTGCAAGCTGGACATAGAAAAGGCATATGATCACCTTAACTGGGAGTTTTTGCTGGAACACTTTCGAAGATGGGCTTTGATGAAAGATGGATTAGTTGGATCAAATTCTGCATTAGTACTGTCAAATGCTCTATTTTAGTCAATGGTTCACCTGTGGTTTCTTCTCCTCTCAGAGAGGCTGAGGCAGGGAGACCCAATCTCCCCTTTCTATTTATTCTGGCTATGGAAGGTTTAAACAATATGTTAAAACTGCCATAGCAAATAATTGGATCAGGGGTTCAGGGTAAACTCTAGGGACTCAACCAACTTGGAAATCACCCATCTACAATATGCAGATGATACCTTGGTGTTTTGTGATGCTAGCAGAGAACAGTTGCTCTTCCTAGGAATGGTATTCATTCTTTTTGAAGCAATATCTGGACTACACATTAACTGGAACAAGAGTTTCATCTATCCAGTTAATGAAGTAATGGAGATGCATATTTGGCGAGGGGGGGGGGGGGGGGGGAAGATAGGAGCTTTACCAACAGTGTATCTGGGAATGCCACTTGGAGCAAAAAGCAAGTCAAAAGGAATATGGAATGGTGTAATTGAGAAATGTGAAAAGAAACTTGTTAGTTGGAAGAGCCAATACCTATCTCTGGGAGGTAGACTAATCCTAATCAATAGTGTTTGGATGCCATGCCTACTTACATGATGTCTTTATTTCCAGTTCCGGCCAATGTAGTTTAAAAGAATAGATGCACTGAGAAGAAACTTTCTATGGCAAGGCACCTGTTGATAAGAGTAAGTTTCATCTGGTCAGGTGGGAAGCTCTTATTACCAGCAAGAAAGAAGGGGGAATGGGGATTAGAAATATAAAAATTCAGAATCAAGCATTGATGATGAAGTGGTTATGGAGGTTTGCACAACAGAACAATCTTTGTGGAAGAAGGTAATTCAGGCAAATATGGGATGGAAGGTAGTTGGACAACAAAAACAGTTTGTACTCCTTATGGGGTGAGTCTGTGGAGGTCTATCAGAAACACATGGCCAAGGTTTAGAAACAATTTAAGTCTCAGAGTTGGAAATGGAATGAAAACATCCTTCTGGGAAGATAAATGGCTTGGTCAGAGAACTTTAAAGCAACAATTCCCGGACATCTACAATCTGAATCAACAACAAAGAGCTACTGTTGGAGAACTTTGGACAGGTCAAGAATGGAACCTTACATTTAGAAGATTTCTATATGACTGGAAATTGAGAGGCTGACAGATTTTTATGATACTCTAGAAACAGTTTAGAGGGACCACCAACAATAGAAGATAGGGACTGGTTCTGGGCAAGGGGGGGAAAGAAGGAATTTTCTCTATTAGATCAGCTTACAAGGAGTACAACCATTCAAATAACCAGATTGGTTGTTGGCCTTGGAAAATGATCTGGAAAGTTAAAATACCTTACAAAGTGGCATGCTTTGTCTGACTCCTAGCAAGAGAAGCTGTCCTAACCCAAGATAATCTCACTAAGAGAGGATATCAGTTGGGGTCCAGATGTTACTTATGTAAAGCTCAGGAGGAGACAATCAACCATCTTTTTTTGCACTGCAGTGTCACAGATCAAATTTGGAAGATATTCATCAACCTGAGGGGAATTAAATGGGTTATGCCAGGGAGAATCAGGGAAGTCCTAACAAGTTGGAAGAGAGATGGATTGCAGTCTGGCCAGAAGGAGAGATGGAAGATTGTCTCTGCATGTATATGGTGGACAATTTGGAAAGAAAGGAACCAAAGATGTTTTGAAGATACACATAGTTCAATACAAAAGTTGAAGATGAGCTGCCTTATGCTCTTTTATTTGTGGTGTAAACAGGAGTGCTTAGAAGAGAGTGAAAGTATTTTTGATGTTTTAGACCTCTTATGATCTTTATAGAGACTTAGGTTGTCTCTCTTTGTACTCCCTTTTGTAATTATGGATGACTACACTGATTTAGTGTAGTCATGTTTATATCTAATACAAGTGTTACCAATTTCAAAAAAAAAAAAAAACAATGCTAACCACTGTAATTAAATCAGAATGACCCATGTGATCCACAAAACAGCAGACGACAATCTTAAGAAAGGAGTTTCAATAATCATTTTATAAAAGAATGAATCTGCAACTGCATGAATAGAAAATCTGACAGAAGTGAGAAAGCATTTACTGTTTCTAATCGAAGAACAAGAACATCCTTCTTTTGACCTATCCTATGAGCCCTTGCCTGTGCTTGGAGATCAACCTAAAAGCAGCAAAGCGAGAGAGCAGTAAGCAAAAGCCACAGAATCAAAATATAAAAGATCCTCAAAAGTAAGTTTGAGTTTTGCCTGAGGATTCCAATCCGTGTCAAAAAGTATCACTGTATCAGCAGCTTGAAGATTCACTCCAACTCCCCCAGCACGAATACTGGCACCATTTAAGAATAGATTAGTCCAAGCGAAAATGCTTGCTTGAATAACGAAAGCAGAAAAAAAAAAGCTGATACCTAGAAGGAACATCAAAACAAGTCCTACAAACAACCTACAAGATTTTTTCCTAGAAACAATTTAAACCATATTCCAATAACCAGTATATACAATGGTCCAGTTTGGAACGTTGTCCATGAAAGTGAAGTACATTTTATTAATCTACTTTTGGTAGTTAATAAATTTTTTGTTTTCTTTAGTATCAAGACTCGCAGAAAACTAAAATTAAGTTTTCAGCAAATTTTCAATTTTGCAAAACTTCAGGCCAGTGATCATGGTAAGGACAAAATGAATGACTAGTACATGCTTTAAACTCAACAAAACAGTGAATCTAAGGCAGTCTAAGTTAGCCAATTACCTCAACAGAAATATAAAGAATGGAGAATTCGGCTGATTAAATCTATCAATAAGGGCACCTCTATCGCCCCCAGACGTATGTCCATCCAAGCGAAGGTACTTATATTCCTTCCAGCAGAGATAATCCTCCATTACATCAAGCAGCCTGGTCATTGTTGAGAAAAGCAAGACCTGCAAAACGACCAAAAAGAACAGCATGAAAGAGGAATAACTTTCATTTCCTTAACCCTTGCAGCCTCATCCCTCAAAGAAATTGTGATTAACAAAATGGTAAGCATCAGAATCCTTTCAATTGACAATGAAGTCAAGGCCCCCAAGTAAATAAATTAAAAATGACAAAAACAGTGTCAGCAGCTAAAGAACAAGGAGAAAGAAGAAATTATAAGGCCAGATATTACCAGATATAAATAAGGCTTAAAAGCACATGAATATCCACAACCTCAAAGAGTGATCTAGAAATTAAGATTTCTTCAGAAAACAAATTAGTAATGCAAACACACAATTTTGTACCCGATGATCTGTTGCCTTAAGTTTTGGCAGTAGTCTGTCCAACATCTCAAGCTTCCCACAAATCCTCACAATGTTCGGCAGATAATGCTTGGGAATTAACTCGTGAATCTGACATATAAAACAAAATGATCAAATAACCAAAAGGGACAACTCCCCACCTTTCAGCAACTTCTGAAGATAAAAAACGAGCTCAAAATATATGTTCTCAAATCAAAAGCAGTAGCAGAAGGACATGCATGATATTTTCCAGTTATACCTATACCTGCACTTCACATCAATTTCAAGATCATAAAGGTACTAATAGAAGGGGGAGAGCCATACCTCCTCCACATGAAGCTGGCTAAGATATGGATGATTGCAAATATTGCGTAGCTCCATAACAGAATTGTGGACTGAGCGAGCCTAAAAAAGGAAGAATGTGGTCAAAGGTAAGAACATAATACCTGAATAAGCATATTTTCTTTTTCTTTTCTTATTTTGATAAAACAAAAGAGTTTGTTGTTCATAATATGCACCAATATGACTTCCGAGTAAGCACATATGTTCATTTCTAACCGTAGAACTACAAGAAGATGTTCAACCTCATATAGCCAAATTAATTAAGAAAGTAAAAGAAATACAAGTACCGAATAAATGGTACGAAACCTTTTGGACACTGACATGAACATATACAAGCACAATTTCTACTTATATACATAAAGTCTATGAGCTGCAATAGATCTTAGCTATGCTTAATTTATCTCAACAAAGAATTAAACAATATTGTTGAGCATGAATCATTGAACTCAAATAACAGAAGAGAGGCTAAACCTTTGAAGTTCCGAATGCACCAAGGTTTTCTTCCACCCGCTTCATCAAAAGCTTCTGATATGAAGAAGCTTCACATCTAACAAGCCTTTCAATCTTTTCAGGTAATTCATTCTCAACCTAAGACAAGCATTTGAAAAGACAGAGGCATAAGCTCCCAACACTGTGAAAAATTGAATGCCAGAAGCATTCTTAGGAAGCATTTTTTGGTCACATAAGACAGATTTGCTACCAATATGGCAGCATATACAGTATGAAATAATTGTTTGTTTTCTTGCACTATCAAGAACCTGAAAGAATGATCAAAACAGCAGACTCTACATTTCTCTTAGCAACATAAGGAACAACACTATGCCAAATATCTAAGTTCCATCATGTGTGCAATAAGACATGTTGCCAGTCATATTAGACACCCTCCAAATTATGCTTTTGGAGAAGAAAAGAATTCATATAAAATATTTAAGAGCAATAAAGGATGCATAAGAAGTCGTCACAAGTGTGAAAATAGTGGAAGGAGATACGGGGTTCCAAATGACCGTGGATTCACAAAGGATCTGCCCTGAGCCTGCACTTTTTTCACCTAGTTATGGTCTTATGGATGAGTTAACTAATATTATATAAAATGAGGTTAAGGAGCATGTTATGTGGAGATGAAGTGTTACTGGATGAAATTAGTGAGAGAGCCTAACAAAAGCTTGAGCTATGGAGAAAATTGTAAAGGGTAAGTATTTTAGATAACAGGATATATGCACTACAAGTTTAGCCGTCATAAGAAGGGACAAAAGTTTTTGCTGTTTTTTGCTTCTGTAAATACTGTTCAGCTGTTACAGCACATCCTTTATGCTAGTTTAATATATAAGATTACCTTACTTTTCAAGAAAAAGTTTAGTTGTTACAAGAAAAATAAAGTTAGAGTAAGACTGGACTGGATTTTTTTTAAGATGGCTGAACTGGAGTCTTATCTAGCTGTAGTATTACCAAGAGAATGCTATGATAGATGAGGATGTAACACATAAAAATTAAAATATAAAATGTGAAACCGAGGAGTGCTACAGCGTGCTATCCAATAAGATACCAACAAAAATAAAAAGCATGTTCCATAAAACATCTTCTATCTTTTCGATAAAGATAATAAATCATAAATTTCTTTTTTTCCTTATAACAAAATCATAAATTTGGAATGTATCTCTCAAGGCCAATCACAAGAAGTAATGGCAGAGACTCTGCTCCACAAGGCAATAGGATATGAGATTGCACTCTTCTAATATGAGGATCCGTTGTTCCCCATAGGAGAATAAAGCCTCAATCATGTAGCATCGCCTAAGTAGGCCAGGATTCACTAAAAAAAAAACAAAGTGGCTTGTCTACAATAACATTTATTGTATAAAACAATTTTAAGACCAAAAATGTAAAAATGGGATGGATATCAGGCATCTACAAAATATATGTACAATGTAGGGATAAGTCTGATTTAAAAAGTCTCTATCCAAATTTAGAGAAGTCCTAACATTATCATGTATTGGATAAACAAGCCCACATAAACTGATCAATATAAACATTCGCATAGATGACTCCAACTTGTTTGAGATTCAGGTGTAGCGATACTCGTGATAGCCAGTGTTAGGTGTCCCACATTGGTTGAGGAAATGGATGTTGTCTCCTTATATGATCTTGGCCAATACTCATCTCATGAGCTATTTTGTTATTTCATTTTGATTAAAAGAAAACTAAGCACTAAGATGGTGATAGGCGTTACATAGATAGGGAGACCTCTATACAAAAACAAAAAGAAACACTCCCGTCTCAGGAGCTAGCGTTGGCTTGAGTTAGGCCCAAGGTCCATTTCTTCTCATGGTATCAGAGCCAGACCCATTCTTATTCTTGTTTTATCCAAGGATGGGCCTCGTTTTGTGTTGTACAAGCTCTGGATGTCCCGTCTTGGGCGTGCGGGGGTGTTAAGTGTCCACAATAGTGGAGGAAATGGGTTGTTATCCCTGCCTAATTAAAGCAACACTATTTAGATCCCTCTTTTTGTTTCCTCCTTTTTCTTGGTCACGGAGAGGGGCAATAAGTATAACTTGATGGTACATCAAAAAATTAATAAGAGAAATTATTGTTAAGAAGAAGATGTATTATTGTTGGTGGTGTAAGCATGGGGAGGATGAGAACCATCCACTAAAACATTGTGATTTTGGCTGGCAGCTATCGTCATTGATGTTTGCAATTTAAAATCCAATTGGTGTTACCCAACATAGTCACGGGCACGCTGAAGAGTTGGAGTTAGAGCAAGCTGGAAGCTGGAGGTAGGTAATTTTGGAAAACACGTGATTTTTGCATCATTTTGGGTATTATGGAGAGAGATATGGAAAAACTTTTGAGGGATTGAAAGTGCGTTATCAAAGGTCAAAAATTCTCTTTTGTTTCTTTTATAATTTTAGTGTACAGTTGGATTCCACTTGTACACAGTTGGTTAGATTTTTGGGAGGCATGATGCCTTTCGTAAATATAATACCACATAGGTGTGGCATCAATAAGAACATTTGATTTTTAAGAAAAAACAAAAGCATGATATGGATCCTCCAAAGAAGGAATTTGATACACATAGCTTGAGATTGGATAACCAGTCGAGTAGGGCAAGTGCATAGTACGGATGAAGAGATATACCTTGTGTTTCAATCTCCTAAGTACAAACGGACGCAGAACTTGGTGCAGACGATTTATGATCAAAAGATTTTCCTCCTCGGAGAGCAAAGCCTAGCAGCAGAAGAAAGCAAAGTAATTGGATCAACAAAATATAAAGAATAACTTAAGCAACAAGGAAATCGTATTTCCGACTGGAAACAGTAAGAAACGTACCTCATCAGCAGAGTTGTCACCATTACTCTCAAATGGTTTGTTAAACCATTGTGAGAAGTCTTCTGATGAGTTGAAGATATTTGGCAAAAGGAAGTTAAGGAGTGCCCAGAGCTCCTCAAGATTGTTCTACATGGACGGAATAATAAATACTTTTAGATCACATCAGCACACACACAAAAAAAAATAGTATATCATGTTATATGCCAGAAGAGCATTCGTCTTCTAAACCCACAGGATGTAAGAAATAAAAATCTCACAGACAATATAAACCTGAAGAGGAGTTCCCGTCAACAGCAACCTATGATTACTGCGATAGTGCTTGAGATCAGCATTCAACTTGCAAGAAGCATTTTTTATGCGATGGCCTTCATCAATTATGATATAGTGCCAATTTATTTTACTTAGTTTTGGCCGATCATGTTTGTTCATCAAATACTCATATGTTGTCAAAAGAACATTGAACTTTTGATGAACTATTCTTTCCCTGCAATGACAAGTTACCCAATATTTACAGCATGAATACAACGGAAGTAACAACATAATAGTAGAATTGCTAGACAAGAATATGACATACTTGAAAAGCTTCCTCCGCTCTTCTGGTGGTCCAGAATAAACTATTTTGAGCATATCTGGTGCCCAAAAGTTTATCTCTGACTCCCATCCAGGCAGGACAGAGGATGGCACTACCACCAGAAAAGGTCCTCTGTCATTTTTGGCTTCCATCAGGTAACACATTAGGGATATAACCTACAAAATTGTCTCCATGAGATATTCATGAGAAAATAACTATGGAATTTAAATGAACTTCAAAAGGAGAACTAGAGTTAATAAACTAGGAATCAAGTAAGAGTAACCACTAAAGTAATTACATATTAAAGTACCTGAACAGTTTTACCGAGTCCCATCTCATCAGCTAAAATTCCATTCAAATGGTTATTGTAGAGCGAAACCAACCATCGCAATCCATTCATTTGGTACCTGAAAGAAAAATCGAGGTTAAACATACTCTAGATGAAGGAAATAGGAAATATCAGCGAGTGGAAATTAAATATTAAAAAAATGCACTCACAAACATAGATCCGCAATAATAACTAATTCTGACATGAAAAAACTTACTCCCTTAATTTTCCACCTTTGAGAGAAGTAGGCTGCTCTGCAATGGTCTCCTTTACACTGCAGAAAATAAATTTACTTATTTAGCATCTCAACCAGAGAGATTGAATACTGACATTGAACAGATAACAAAGTTGAATAATGGGAAGTCAAAAGAATGAAGATTCAAATAAAACTGAAGAATCTATGGCGTTAAGTCCTTCAAGACCATGTAAGAGTTTATATAAGCAGAAATTACCTATGTGCCATCATATAGTATTTTTCATTGCTTTCCAAGTAATGCTGCAGAAAAAAATTAAACGTATAAGCAAATCAGGAAATGACACAAAACAAGCATATAACAATCAGCATGCCAGCTAGCAATATGTGCATTTAACCATATAGGAAAATATCTGAAAGAACCTTAGCCTGATCTGTTTCATCCTCATCACCGAAGTCAATTTCATCCTCCTCAACCACACCAGTGCTTCTATTGTCACCCATGTCGGTATCAAATTTTCTTGCTATTGACTTAGCGTCCTTTAATTTGGATCCAAGCTGTTGGAGGTACTTTTCCGTCTCTTTTAGTAGTTGTTTAACACGATCCGACTTTGCGTCCTACAACAATGTGAAAGTATTTATCAGGATAAGTGGAACAGAGGGCAGCGCAGAGAGAGAAATTTAGTCATACCATACCTGAACCATTCTAAGGTATCCCTCAACATCATTGATTTTCAGTAAATTAATTTTTTCACGCTGGATTCTGTCAATCTTCTCACGATGTATCCGTTCCTTCCTTTTATGGAACTCTTTAACATACTTATTGAAACCTTTCCAACGTTCTCTCTTCATTTTGAATACATCTTCCAATCTTTCCCTGGAGTTCAGGTTAATTCCAAGAAAACAAAAAATCAGAAAATCAGAAAAGAAGTCATTAATCATTTACTGTTAAAGGAGCAAAGCCACACGATTAATTTGACCAAAAAAGGGTCACACGATTAATCCCAAGGAGGGCAGTAATTGCATACCTATGAACTTCAATCTCGCTGAAGAACTCCTTCTGTCTCTCACGAATTCTTTTTTGACGCTCTTCCTTCATTTTCTGTTCATATCTTTCAAGTTGCTTTGATTTCCTCCCAATTCTGTGTTTCTTGATTGATTTTAAGCGCTCCATGTCAGCTGCTATTGGTTTGAAAAAATCATTGAGAATTTCACTGCCAAAAAATTGTCACAAGGTCACAAGAACTGAACAGATAATGTGAAACAATGAAGGGTGACATAGGAAAAGCCTAAACAGTTCTAAACGATATAAATAAGGCGAAATACATAAATAGCCCCTTCAAGTTGTCCTCAACGGTCAGATGGACACCTCAATTATACTAATGACCAGAGAGACACCTCTTCTCGGCTAAAGTGTGTCTCATGAACCCCTCACGATGACATGGCAAAGTGTGTGCTTTTTACTCATTCTGGGCGCGTGAAACCCTCAAAATTATGTTTTTCTCTTTTTTCTTTTTAAATTAACCTTATTTTAATGACCCACTTACCTTCATCTTCGTACTTCTTTCTTCTTCAAGTTTCACCATTGATGAAAAACAAGAACAACTAAAAAGTTTCTTCCAAATTACAACAAATGGAAAAAACATAAAATAAGCACATAATTTCGTCCAATATATACTATCACAATTGCTTATACAATTAATCACAAGCATTACCATAATAATTAATTGGATAAATTAAATTTCACCATAATAATTAATTACGGTAAAATTTTTGTTGCTCTTCTGCTCAATAAGGTCTCTTTTTTAAATCCTTCAATTACGGGTTCCAACTTGGGTTCCAACTTTTTTCACCTTCAATTAAATTTCACCTTCAATTTGTGTGCTCTGTTTTGGGTTCCAACTTTTTTCTTCATATACCCAGGAGTGAAAATGAGGATGCGAAGCAAAGTGGAATACTTTGCTGGAAGCAAAGTGAAAATCACCTTCCAATTAAATTGTGGTGGTAATGTTTGGGGCTCCTACACGGCAAAAATTAAGACCAAGATTCAATAATTTTTTTAGTTCTTGGTCGTTCAAAAGCAGTTGTGTATTTGGTTAAGGAGTTTTAAGATGTTGAAGGGGTGGTCTGTTGGTGGAAGTGGCTGAAGATGTTGAAGGGTTGCTGATTGTTGGGTGTTCGCTGGCGGATTTCCGACAGATTTGAGAGGGGCGGGCGGCGGCTGCTTGTTTGAGTGATTAGGGTTCTTTGGGGCGTAAGGAAGAAGAATAGGTTGGGTGGGGGGATGGTGTAGTTGGAAATAAGGAAAAAGATATTATTTTCTTATTAATTACATGTGTCAAATATTTTAATTATATATTACACTTGTCATTCTTTAATTGGTTTATTGACACATCACCCGGCAAGTGTAACTCATGCATATAGTCTGCTCCACTCGAATGTTTACTTGATACACTTAATAGTCATTTGAAGTGTCTAAATGGTAAATGGGTCAATTGAGGTGTCCATCTGACCGTTGAGGACAACTTGAAGGGGCTGTTTATGTATTTCGCCTATAAATAATCTTGGCTACCACAGGGGGGAGGAGGAGCATGAGACCACCAGTCCTAAGAAGAAATACAAGCTCTCTGGAGAACCACAGGAGTCTAGTATACATACAAGGAAATGTTCACAGACTGCAAATTTGTAACCACATAAGCATTTTAGACACCAGCTTAAGAAGAAATACCAACCCTCCAGAGAACCACCACGTCCACCAGAGACTATGTATAATACAAGAACATATTCATATACTATGAGTATCCATACACACATGCATTTGAAACCACCGTGCAGCTCTTATCGAGAATATTTTTATAAGATCCAGTAAGAAACTGAAATCATCTAGGACCCAACTACTCAGCTGGTTCTTTTCAGATTTATATTAATATAAATCTCAGCTACTATGTAACTTAATCTTTTTGAATCCACAGATTAATAATACCTTAGAGTGCCAATTTTCATTCAAAAATCTTTGAATTAGTTAAATGAGGTCTTGTATTTAATGAGAATTAAAAAATTATATCATATCTCTAAAGATCAAACTAGCAACACTCGAAGTGAATGCTATAGGTTTGCAAAATGGTTGACAGCTTGTCGTACTTCCTTGAAATGTAGGTATCTATTAGGAGAGGCAAAATTAGAAAGCAAGGCAGTAGTAACAATGTGGTACATTGATACATATTAAACTTGCAAATAATTCACCGTAGAAATATCAAATTTGTTGACTATGTGACACCCTTCCCAGAAAATACGATATCCACTAGTGGAGGCAAAGTTAGAAAATAAGGGAGTGGGAACAATGTGGAATACATCTAGATATGTATAAAAAAGTAAGTTGAACTAGATCAATCACCTCCGTAGACGGCGCTGCAGCTCCAGCAATTGAAGCTTTTTCAGCTCAATGACACTTTTTGTTTTTGCAGAGATATCCTCAGAGGAGCTCACCGATTCCTGCCACATAAATGAAGATGAGTATTTATCATATCAGAGCAATGAAACTTAACCGGGATGTAAGAGCCATTGTACATAAATAAGGTTATAGCAATCTATGGACATTAAAGATGCTTATGATTGTCACAAGCACGTGTATCAGACGCTGGAAGAGCAGATCATCAAATGGTTCTGACAGATCAAAAACAGCTGATGCAAGGTGCAGTGATATACTTTCTTCCACCTTTTTTTTTTTGGATAAAGTAATTTCATAGACACACTCAAGATCCATAAAAACATAAAACAATGCAACAGGAAAATCACAAATGCCAGCTTCAATTTGATTATTATCTCGGCATCAATGACATCATTGGGCACTCAACATGCAGTTTAATTTACCATTTTGCAGCTAAGGAAGAAGAATAACCAACCATACAGTTTTTTTTTCATCTACACAGACTAAATGGTGGGTAGTTGCTTTGGTTATTGAGAACCATGGAATAACAGTGAAGGCGATAGACAACTTTGGTTCTCAAAGTGCACAGTCTTTTCTGTTTTAAGTCCCCAGAAGTGTAGCTCGACAACTGAATGGAAACGGGAGATTTAACGATTGGGAGAATATCTATTGTTCTAAGGAAAAAAAGGTCTAGTTTTGAACAATTTGGCACTTGAAAACTACTTCCTTTTAGAGGGAAACACTTGTGGCTCTTTCTCTTCAAACACAGTCCGTCTATGCAGCGTAATAAAAGAAACATGATGACCCCCAAATGGTTAGAATGAAGCTGGAAAGCACATTATCGTACTACATGTAGCTTACATCTGTTGTGTATTCACTATTTACACCATTCTTGTACTTAAAACGAGCAATATGATCTTTTTTGTTTTGAAAAGATCTCATAGGTGAATCCTGACCATGTCCCTATCTGTGCTTGTCTACACCTCCTATTTGTTTCTCTTTCTTTGGGGAACATAATCGATGCATAAAAGGCCAATCAACTTGAAAGCACAGTATGCAATTCACCCAAATTTTAAAAGTATTAGCAACTAGAACTATCAAGCAAAGGGCATAACACAAGAATATTCAGAAAGTTTCATTGATTTACTCACAAAAGGCACCAGCTAAGCAACAAGTTCCATTGACAAGGTAAGACCCCCAACCCCCAAAAAAAGGTAGATGCACTGCTTACACATGTAGGTGGTTTTAGGTGAATGAAAGCTCTGTTAAGCCAAAGAAGAAAGCCTGACATAACATGAGGACTCTATGAGTCATGGGCCATTGACCAAACAGTACATTTAATTACTGCAAACCCACCCACCCCCCACCCTGATGCACCAACCCAAGTAAGAATAACAAATCAAAATCAAGGGGAAAAAAAGCGAACAGAGAACAGAATAAAGAGAGATTTTCCATTTCAAGGTATCACAAAATATCGTGCTGACCATGATGGGGAACAAAGCCAACTAAATTCATTCCGCTTGAAAGTTCAGACCACTTTTTGAATGGAAAATTAGAGAAGATCTAATCTATTAACATGAAGAAGCTAAAATGGACTCGAGTTTCACCAGAAGAAGGCCTTAGACAGTTACCAATCCAATCAGCGTTAACAAGCTAACCAAATATCCAGTCTATACAAAATACTGATAAGAGCATAGCCTTCTATAAGGGAAGAACGATTTTCAATAGCAAACCTTCAACTTCTCTGCACAAGAAGCAATTCTTTTTTCCGTTTTTTGCTGTTTCTCCGACCATTTCTGTTCACTAAGATGTTTCCTTTTCTGCCGATCCAAAATCCATTTCTCCATCATTGTATGCCTTGGAGATGGTAACCTATCTGTGGATGCTGAAATATTTTCATCCTCTTGATCTGTTTCTTGCACTGTAAATGGACTTAATGTGCAGATGTTAGAACAATAACTAGTCGTATAAATATACATGCAAATATAACTATATAAGTATGTACGTATAGACGTATCGTCAACACACTGAAAATCAGTCCCCTCGATGAAGTTTGACACCACACCACAATAGCAAAAAAGGGAAGAAAAGAAAAGAGGAATCTGCATATTGCATATAAGTTATCGGAAGAAGTTTGTCTTACCTAGATTCCCAAAGCACCAAAACCAAATCCGTAAAAAGGAAAAAAGGTAAATTTTTAAAGAAATTGATAAGAGATGAAATTCGAGAAATATTATTCAGACCTTGTGACAGATTTTTCAGCATTATATTTGAATCCTTCACTTGCATTGTTACAGGACTCTGATTAATTGCTCCAGGAACAGATTTCCACTGTTGCCTCAAGGGTAAACTAGGCAAGTTACTATCAGCATGTCGATTTCCTTGAGCATTGCTATCAGCAGGACAATCTTTCATTAGCAGACCAGATTCATGGGTATTGGCAGAGGCAGGTGGTGATAACTTTGACGCCTCAGTTCCACTCCAACCACTAAGATCAGGCTTCATTTGCATGCTTGTGCTCGTAACAGAGGAAGCTTGGGGAAACATTCCAAGTTGTTCAGTATTTGCGGGAGCATGCTCATGATTATTGGGAGCTAAGGGTTTTGAATCGATCGGTACTCCTCTAAGAGCAGGTGCCAGTGATTCTGTAGCATCCTGGATGGGCACTTCAGCATCCTGAATCATTCTCATCTTTCTTTGAGGCCTCCTTTCGTCCGCATGCTCAGAAGGATCAAGCTGACTACTTTTATCTTCCATCAAGTTAGCATTCTCAGCCTCCATTGACGGATTTGTATCAGCAAGAACTCCAGAGGACGTAGGCCCAGAAGAAAGCCTGTCAGTTTCGCCAGCTCCTCCTAATGGCCGTGTGACTTCAGATGCACTGCCTTGGTCAGTAAGCAGTTGCTCCCTTCCTGTATGGTCAACCAATTCTCTGTGATTTACATCTATAGAACACAGCATAATAGCACATGACACGGGTTGTATGACTTCTTAAACAGACTAGTATAAAAGAGGGATATCAAGCAGTAGATACCTTCTTTGGGATAGAAGTTTCCAAGAGCAATTTCAAGATGAAGCTTCTTAGGCATTAAACCATTCCTACAAGTGGGAAGGATATTGAAAACTGTGGTAGCTGGAAGAAAAAATTTCTTTGCAAAATGACTAACGCAAAAAACAAATGCATCGTCCTACATACCTAAAAGCCAAAAACACAAGACATTGTGCTCTAAGCTGTTTCAAATGATGTTCTTTGAAAGGCATGGAAGATACAGGAGCCTGAGCTGCAACAGGTAACTTCCCTGCATCTCTGATAGTTTCACTTCTAAGCATACTCTTCTCCGGGGCATTGTTAGGCATGCCCCCCTGTAGACACAAACAAATTAAGGCAAAGATGAAGCATACAGAGAAAACGAATACTGCTGAAAAAGAATAACCAACTAAATACAACCAGAGTTGTTATTCATTGAGGTTCTATAATACAGCAAGCTATTTTCCAATATGATGTCAGGAAACAGACTGTGTGTGCATAAGAATAAGTTGAGCAGATGAAATCTTTCTTGCTTGAATAGTGCAAGGTTTTGACTTTATATAACACCAACTACGCCTTAACCCCCAAACTAGATAAGGTCAGCTCTTTGAATTCTCACTATCCATGTCACTCCATGCAACCAGCCCCAATCCAATATTTAAAAAGACGTTTTGACCGTATACCAAACAATGACAGCTTTCACTTTTTACTGCAGAATGAATTACTTAGAAATGGTGAACGCAAAATCGGAATGGCTTTCTTCATGTATGAGCATAAATTGAATAAACAAAAACAATAAGTCAGCAGATAATCTATTCGAGAGTTCATTTAATACAGCAAATCTCTAAAAGGAAAATAAATCTAACTGAATCTAGAAAAGGAGGAGGTGCACTCATTTCCAAAAACAGTATTAGTTTTATCCCAATAACAAGGTACAAAGTAGTCGCAGGGACTTAGCTACTCAACTCTGTTTCGCATTACTTAGATAAGCATCTATTGGAATTAGATATCATGTTTAAAGAATCTTTACTGAAAACAGAGGACTTATTAGGTAGAAAAATTTACCAGAGGAGCAGAACCCGTTATTTTGTTTTGTTTTTTATTGTTAAAGGTAGTATATTGATAGCAGCATCAAGTAAGTGCTGTGAAACAATTACAAGTGGAAGCTACATCACGCGTTACGTAATGAGCTCAAAAAAGCAACCATGGCCTCAATGTCATTTGCAATAGCCATGTTATACCCAACAAAAAAGAGTAAGCAAATACAGCTGTATTTAATGCTAATTAAGATTCCAATTTGCTTTCGAAAACCCTTGCATTCCTTACTTTCCAAATAGTCCACCAGATCACTGAAGGAATGGTTTTCCAAGTTTTCCTCTTTGCCTTTCCTAAACCACCTAAATGCCAACAGTATAGTAACTCTTTTTTGTCATTGGCATTGTCCAAGTGCAAGGTGTTAAAAAAGAAGCTCCATATCTGTGAGGTAAAGGAACAAAGAAGAAATAGGTGATTGATATCCTCTGATTAATTACCACAATTGGATTGTCCAAGTGCAAGGTGTTAAAAAAGAAGCTCCATATCTGTGAGGTAAAGGAACAAAGAAGAAATAGGTGATTGATATCCTCTGATTGATTACCACAAAGTGAGCACCTACTGCATATTTTCGTACCCCTTTTCTGAAGATTTTCATGTGTAAGACAAGCTTCCTTAGCTACCAACCACGAAAAACATCCCACTTTCATTGGTGCTCTGTTGCGCCAAATGCATTTCCAAGGTCACTTCTAGATAGGGGAATGTTTTAACTGCTGGTAGCATGCTTTAACAGAGAAAAGACCTTTTGCATCATGTTTCCACATTATAGAGCTCTGGAAAGAGAATGGGGGAAACTATGAAGTTGGAGCAACAAAGAACAAAGGTTATCCATTTCCTAGTCATTAATACTGCGTCTAAGTGAGATCTTCCAGCCAAGGTCCGACCTAATATGCTTCTCGTTATGAGGCTCAAAATATGTACCCAGAAGAGATCCATAATAAGTTGTTATCACAAAACCACAATTCTACCATCATCTCCAAACATCATAAGAAACAAGAAACTGATGACACCAAAAGACATAGGCAGTTTGCACCCTATTGAGATTGGCTAAGTTCCTCCTGAAAATAAGCTTCCACAATTTGATGCTTGTGCTAAATCCATTAAAAATTAAATTTCACACTTGGATATGTGAATGATGTGGATAACTGTTTTCTATTACATCCAGACTTACTCTAAGCAATGCTCGTGTTACTGTGATTTCTCCTTTGCTTTCAAACTATTTCTTAAAAATATTCTTTAAGTAGGAAAATATATAAAGCGAACATTTTGCAAACTGGTACCAGATAATCCATTATGTTCCTAAAAACTATGAAGAAGTCTACACACAGGAGATACACTTTTTGTGGAGAATCCAACTCCGGCCATTCTCGGCGAAAGGACCAATGCTCCGCGACTTGAAAAACCACAGAGGATACTTTTGACAAGATTTATGAAGCCCAGGTTTTGGTGATAATTCCATTGATGCTCTTGAAACACCTATGTAAAGATATTACATGTTGATGCTGGTGCTAAATCCACAGGAATGTGATCTTCATGCTTTGGCATGTTCCCCCAACCATCTGTCTCTTCCCAAATGAACTGTCTTGCTTTCCTATTATCCTTTCCAGCTGGTCGGAATCAAATTAAATAAAAAGTCCAGCATTACAATAGCTAGTTTCTCTTCTAATACACTGCACGTGTAGCATGGCCTCTCTAAGAACTTTCCTCCCTTACCATTAACTTTCCAAAAAAAAAGGTGTTTCCTGTCACTAATGTATCAGGTCGAAGTTGCAAGTATAGCAGCAATTAAATAGCAACCAAATGCAGAAAGATTGTGAATCCAACATCAAAACTAAACACATGGTTTTATTAATCCGTAAAAACAAACATAGACTTGTTTATGTCAAATCAACATAGAATATCATAAAAATAGCAGTCATCAGATGACACATTTACAAATCTTTGTCATACAACTAAAGCTCGTTATAAGAAAAAAAAAATCATCAAATATATAGCTTAATTTGGAAGGATACAGTGGAAATAAGGAAAATAAGTACCTGACTGATCTTGCTAGCATTTCCCAACATACTAGATCCTCCTTCATGCTCTAGTGCTCTTCCCGCTGCAGTTCTGCCGGCAACAAGATCAACCGAGGTTGAACCAGAGAAAGGTTCCGTGCTTCCATCTTTGTGCAATTTTGCTGCATAACCATGATTGTCAATTGAAGGACTTCCAAACTGCACTGGACTTGAAATTCCTGGTTCTACTGGCTGAGATGAATTAGACGCAGAAGGCGCCATTACAGGAACTTTGACGCCTGTACCTGAATAGAGCAGCACTTTGCAACATTAAACTGCACTGGATAGCAGAACTAATTTTCAACACATTCTCGTGATAGGAAAAGTTCTTCACTCAGCTCAACAGGAAATATTAACATTGCTCCTACACTTGGAATGGCCGGTACAAATGGCATAACAAGCATCCATTAGCCACCTCACCCCCGCCAAAGTGGGAAAAATTAACAATCAACATATTCGAGAGGGTACATGAGGGGGAGTGCGTTCTTTTTACATTAGGATCTCACAATCAGAAGGAACCTACAAGATCTGGTAGATGGGTGAATACCAAGACCTAGTAGAATTACCATACAACATGAATAGATTGCAAATGCATTACATGTGGAAATGGTAGACATGGAGGATGGCCAATTCTCAGTCAAATCGTACTACCAGAAATCTATTGGAGAGGCCGTGAGGGATGAAGGGATTTCCCGCATCTATCGATTTGGATACCTAGGGCGACCAGAAAACTGTGCTTCTTTGTGTTCTGGCATGTAGGAGAATGATAATGACAGCCGAAAACCAAAGGAATAGGAGGATCACATATATCAGTTGTTGCCATAGGTGTAGATGTTCTGCATCACCTCTTATTACATTGTCAAGTAGCTACCGCGGTACTGCCCATGGTGGAAAGTTTTGAATTTGTCTACAGTACAGTGGGTCATGCCGAGTACAGTAAAAGAGGAACTATATAGCCAGGCTTTAAGGGAGAAAATACTCAAGGCATGAGATGCTGCCCCACTAGCACCTACGTGGATATTACGGAGGAAGAGGAATAGGAGAGCTTTTGAAGGGGTCGAGAATGTTTTTGTATACGTGAGAAGCAGCATCGTGTCTCTATTTTTTTTTTTTTGGTGCAATACGAGGTTCTTTTTTGGATAGATGATTAGGTGACTTTTGTGAAAAATAATATTTTGGTCTAGGTTCTCTACTTTATGGTATACTACTTATATACTGGAATTTCCCAATATCAATAAAATTATTTACCTTATCAAAATAATCAAACCCCCCAAGAAAATGGCTATCTTGCATTCACTCGCTCCTTATGCAAAATAGGAACTCGTCCAACAATTCAATTATTCGTTGACTCTCTTTTTTATGAAGTGATATCAATAAAAGGCATTAAGCAGAAGCAGTGAGTACAAGATATAGCATTTAAGCTTGCAAAAAAAATTAGCTGGCGTCTATAATAACTGACTAAGCCAGAACTAAAGAGCTAATGAACTCCAAAAATTGATCAGCATTGTTAACAGGATGCATCCTAGACCACCAAAATAAATTAGCAATACACCTAGCTTTTAAAGAGGCTAAAGGAGTTGAGCATCCATCTGTTGACTCTCAAGTTTCGATTTATCAACAAAAGCAAAGGCTTTAACTCCTCAATTTGTTTTTAAAAGTAATGGAGATGTTCGCACTTTCGTACACTTCAACTAATCCACCATATACTTGCTACCTCCCACTAGCAAAAGCACCGAGTAACTCTGTCCACCAAGGCTTAGAAATAGCGGGAGAACTTGCCTAGTGTCGCGTTTCTAAGATTTGTGCCATGTTTCACGAAGTTGTACCCCAACTCTTCGCCGCCAAGCCACCCTTTCAAAGCAGCACTCTCCTTGATTTTATGTCAGCCATCAAAGTGGTTCCATCACATCATCCAGAAGAAGCAGTAAATTACTCGCGAAAAAAGCTACTAAAATCCTTTGGCGATGAGACATGGTTATCTGTTTTTTCAGTTTCTTCTCCATTCTCCATCATAAATCATATGTGAAGTAACAAAGGCTTATTGGCCATCTACATATGTTTTGTCACATTATAATCTTCTTTTATTCGGTGAATATTAGTTTCCAACACCAGACAATATGAATGATCTGTTATGCTTGCAAATAAGCAGAAAAATTCCTTTTGCACTTACCACTTATTTGTGGTGCAGATGCTTGATAAATACCATGTCCACTGCCGCTTGGACCACTAACTGCACTGTTTGACGCATATGCATCTGGTTTAACCATCTCGTTTCCCAGCAAATTGGCTTTCGATTCTCTAGTGACACCGGCCCTCTGTGAAGATCCTGCGATAACACTCTCAATTCGTAAAATATGAAAGAACAGCCAGCAAAACATGAGCTTGAAATGCTCGCATTGAGATATTAGTGAAGTACATAAATTGAAACAAATATCACTTTACCAGCTACTTGTGATGATGCAGCTTCTCCTACTTGCACTCCCGCAGACATAGGAAGACGTGAGGACATTAAAGCCTCAATATCAAGACCATGTTGCTTGACAACAGTCTCCATGGCCCTTGAATCAACAAAACAGTAATTAGGAAAGTTAAGAGAACTGTAACCGTACAGGCAAGTCAGAATAGGTATGGAGAACTCTGAACTGTATGACAATCACTTTTCAGTAGCTTTAGTTTTAACCAGCCAATCGCTGCTTTAGGATGCTTTTTATTAAGCCAGGAATGCATAATATCTGCTTTGGCTAGAGAGGAATAGGGCTTGCTTTGATGGGCAGAAAGATCATATTTCTAGAATAAAAAATAAGTGTCTGCACAATCTATTTCTTTGGTGTAATAGCAGTTTGGTAGATAATTCTGATCATTACATGGATTTTATGGAGCTACTTAGAAAATGTTGTAATTAACTGTATGGATATTCCCAGCAGTTTTGTACTCTTTTCTGGTACCATCTTGGTATCCAGTTAGTAAAACTTTACCTTTTCAAAAAAAAAAAATAATATCATGGGCAACTATCATTATACAGTATAATTTATACTTCCCGTCGTAACTGGAAAGTACAATAAGACAATGATAGAAAGAACCATTACCAAACAGAGAGACAATTGACAAAGGGGTTGGGAACAAATAAGGCAGGCAATATGCAAGAAATTCTATAATGCTCTAAATATATGGATAGTGTTTAGACACTATACCTTGATATTACTTGATAGGGCATTGAATTCTCCTTCCCGCTGGATCTCATATGTTGTAAAATCTAAGTCAAGAGTAGTACAACTTAATACAGGTAAGCAACTCAAATTTTGGAAGGCATACAACATAAGAGATGTAAACACACCACATAAAGCTTTGTAGCCAATTTTGTCGGCTCGTCTTTAGACTCTTGAATAAGCTTATGCAGAAACTTTGCTGCCTCCAGCTCAACATTATTTGGATTAGCCATCTTGCTCAAACTACACAAAATTGCAAAAAGTCAAATCTAGCAACTCATAACTCATATCAAAGGCCCCATGACTTGGTCGCAACATTCAATTCAACATCATAAAGAAAGGGAAAACAAAAGAAGAGCACAAAATATCCACTTCCAACTTCCACCCAGTTGCAACATTTCAAAAGAATAACTCAACAGCATTGGGCACCATTAGTTCATAGTAAACAATACTGAAACAAGCAACTAATAAAGGTGCTAGTGGCTTTCTAGAGCAAGCCCCTTGTATTGGTCGGGTGCTTAACTTCATCCTTCTCATATCCATCCACGCCATTGTTTTGTCGAGAAGATTGCATCATGAGTTTGACTCTCATTTCCTCCACTATGGACATGAACTCGCAGGCAAGATTACTCGCAAGCAAGATTACATGAGAAGAACCACTTGGTGGAGTCCACTCCCCAGAACCAAGGAGTCCCAGGCAAGGGCGGCAACCACCACAAAGCCCCCTCCCCCTAACTTTTCTAAGTAAAATTTCAACCTTAAGTTCAGAAATTCTCCAGGAAAAAATCCCTTCTAAGCCATATTGAACTTTTAGGTAAAATTTTCCAGTTATTCCTCTCATAGACAGGAGCCTTGGCGCAACGGTGAACATTGTCGCCCTGTGACCAAGACGTCACGGGTTCAAGCCGCGGAAACAACCTCTTGCAGAAAAGCAAGGTAAGGTTGCAGCCCTTCCCCGGATCCCGTGCGTAGCGGGAGCTTAGTGCACCGAGCTGCCCTTTATTCCTCTTCCACACAATTTACTGCTCCTCGTCTTAAATCTTTCCTCCACTGTTTCATTATACGATTAAATCCCCTAAATTACAACCAATTTCCATTCTTAAACAAGAAGCTAAAACCACTTAACACCCAAAAAGGGTTTTAAAAAAAACATCCATTACAACCACAGTTAAGTTTTCCTAACCAAATTTGAAATGTTGCTTCTCTATAAGTACGCTTTGGTGTTTTAAAGGTCGACGACAAACTTTTCACTATTTCAAGTCGAGGAAATATCTAAAAAATTTAATCTAGTATCAAAATACAGCTAAATATAATGCCTAATCAATCATAGCTCAACTTTTACTCTAATTACTAGCACTGAAAGGTTCCAATTAACAAAGATCAAAATTAGGGTTTTTACCTGGTGGCAGTTCGAGGAATGAACCAGATGAGCTAGAGAGAGCGACCTACATGTATATTAAAAAATAAATGTAGAAAACAGTGTTGAAAAATCGATACTCCTACTGTGTTGGTTTTGAGCTTAGTGATTCTTCGATTGATGTGAAGTGAATGAAATTTCAGCTGAGATTTTTCTGAAAGTATTTTTCTTTTTGGTAAATAAAAGGGGTTTGAGTTGTGAAGATTGAAGAATTCTGTTTTAGTGCTTCGATTTTTTTGTTTTTCCTTTTGGCCGCCCATCTAAGAAAATTCGTGTTTTCGGACCCTTGACTTCTTCTCTGCTTACTTTGGCCCCAGAAAGAAGTAAGACCAATGTATTGTATGATTTTTATCAAATTACACCTGTAAGCAGGGGTGTACAAAGAAAACCCCCGCACCAAATCGATAATCCGAATTAAACCGGAAAAAAATTTTGATTGTGGTTTGGTTTGATTTGATTTGGTATTGGAAAAAAAACCAATCATAAATGGATTGGTTTGGTTTTAACTAAAAAAAGTCAAATCGAAACTAAACCAACCCGATATTGTATTTATACAAATTTTAAAATATATTATGCATATAAATATTCATTGTAATATAATTTATAAATATTTTTTAAACGTGTTCACAGTTTTATCTTTAAACGTATTATTTAAAGTTTGGACTTAATATTCTTGAATGGTCCAATAAATTCTATAGCCCATAAAGGTAGTAAGTTAAATAAAGTTCAAATCAATACTAATGTTAATAAAAGAAATTTTCAACACTGGAAATGACAATAGTGTTGGATATCTATTTCTTAGTTTTGCATTGGTTATAATGAAAAGGTAAAAACTTACCCGCATCGGGTGTTTACACCAAACCAATATATATATGACATGTGTCTTGCATATGAACTTCAATCATTTAACAATGGTAAATTATATGCATTCTTAACCATGGTGAGTTAATATAGTTTGGTGTAAATATCCGGTGTGGGTAAGTATTTACCATAATGAAAATGCATAACCAAGTTAATTTTTTCTTTAGTGCTTAGTTGTGTAATTAATAGCACTTATTAGCTGTATTATTTTACCATGACCTATATAATATTGTTTGATTATGTTAACTTTTATTATGGCGTATTAATTAGTAATATTTTCTTTATGCAATTTTATTATCTTTATTATTGAATATTTTAGTACAATGCTATGAATCATCTCAATTCTCATATTATTGTGTTATTTTCATAGAAAATATATTATATAGTTGTATCCTACTAGGACTAAAGAATTATTTGGAGCAAAATTATATATTTTATGCTATGAAAACTTTACCGGAAGAAAATTTGAAAAACCGAAAAAAATTGAGATTGGAAAATCCAACTTTATTGGTTTGGTTTGGTTTGGTTTGGTTTGGTTTGGTTTATAGATTTAAAAATCCGACAACACTAATTTGGTTGTGTAATTAAAAAATTCGAACCAACTCGACCTATGTACAATGTCACGACCCAAAACCCATTAAAGGTCGTGATGGCGCCGGATACCACTGTCAGGCAAGCCAACGCCAAAAAGTTAATTTAGTTCTCATTTTAATATTGTTGAAATCATAATTTACTTCAATTAAATAGTAAATGAACTTTATACAGTAAGTAATAATATTTTAGCAAATTTCAATGCTGAATAACCCATAATCATCCTAGAACCCGGTGTCACAAGTGCATGAGCATCAACTTTGAAATAAAATAAAATACAGCATTTGTCCGGAATACAAATTTGGACGAGAAAGAAAATACAATTACTCTGAAGGAGACTCTGTTGGTTGCGGATCGTAACATGGAATACAGCTCAAGTCCCTGCATCAACCACGTTGTTGTGCCCACAAGGCCACTAGACATACATGTGCATGTACAACAAACTATACAACAAGTGTAGTATGAGTACGAAAATAACGCGTACCTAGTAAGTATCTAGCCTAACCCCGGAAGAGTAGTGACGAGGGGTCGACAGCGACACTTACTAGGGGTCCAATAACATCAGGTACAGTAAAGAGATAAATAAATATAAGGCAGAGTAAATAAATAAATTAAATAAGCATAAAAAATATGTGATACAAATTCCCCTCTTTACAATGAACTCAAGCTTCCCATTAGAAATTTCTCCTTAACCAGAGCACACATATAGGTATAATGGACCTCATCAAGTAGATTCATAATTCAAATCCGGAAAGCTCACGGATACACTGGCTTCTTGCCGAATACTACGCACGATTCCATGGGGATATGATATAGGAAATGCCGAGGCGTACGGCCCGATCCAACATAATAATTAAAATGTGCACTGCAGAGGGTCGAACGGCACGAACCATAGATGCATCTATTAACCTGCCAAGGTGAACGGCCCGCTCCAATGAGAGTGTGGTACATAAATCCTGCCGAGGCGAATGGCCCGATCCCATAAGAGTGAAATGCATAACCTTGCCGAGGCGAACGACCCGATCCCATAAGAGTAAGAAGCTTTAACGGGTCCTTGACCCCACTCATGAATAAACGTGTGAGTTATAATGTCTTTAACAAAACCTTTCAGCGAGAACATATATATATCGCAGAATCATTTCGTAAGAGGAGTACAATTACTCAATGACTAATCATGAACTCATGAAGTCTTTACAATAGCCCGTCTAGTCTCAAGTAGTAATGTAAACAGAGGAATTTAATAGGCAAGAGACTACTCAAATAGTACAACTATGACATGATGTGAACCTAATCCTACCCAGGCAATAACATGAATGTAGCTACGTACGGGCTCTCGTCACCTCGCGCGTACGTAGCCCCCATAATTATCAATTTACAATACCTAGGGGTAATTTCCCCCTCACAGGGTTAGACAAGTGACTTACCTTGCTCCGAAGTACCATAATCGGCTCCCAAGCCTTTCCAACAACTCCAACACGATGCCCAACGCTACAAAAGTAGTCAATGATTGAGCGGTTCCATAAATATATATTCAAATACTCATTATAATCCTATTTACAACAATTTTCAACTCCGACCGGAAAGTCGATAAAAATCACCCTCGGGCCCACGTGCCCGGTGTTACACCCCATGTTTTCGTACGTGAAAGTACTCCATAAATAAATTGATGGAAGCTCGGAAATGAGATGTTACATCCCACATTTTTGTATGTCAAAGTTTCGTCGTAAGTTAATCCATGTAAGTTCGGGAATGAGATTATTTTGAGATTATAAGCATTATGCTATTTCAAACAAGTGATGAGTAAACTCGTGAAGGTGAGAGGGTAAGCAAATCGAAGAAAATGAATTTCGTCGAAGTTTGACATTTTGGGATAAAATACGACCCAAGCTAAAATACCCGATATTTATGGACTAGTGCCATACAAGGTACCACAAGACCATGATAGCAAGATGTATAAAGTGTGTTAAAAATGAGTAGTATTTTAAGTAATTTGAGATACTTCTTAATTATGTGGGTAATGGGCAATTATGGATTTTAGTAAGAAATTAACTAAGTGATTGAGTTATTTGGATAAGGTTTAATAAACCTTCACGTGGCAGTCCAAATAGGCATTATAATGACTCTTAAACTCTGATTACAAGGTGGCATTTTAAGAGAATATTTGTGGCTTATTCATCCTTAAAAGTGGGGCCCACACCCACTAATATAAAAGCCTCTCTAAAGCACAAAATTGAGATGCTTAATCTCATCTACAAATGTAACGGATCTCCAGGCAAGAAATCTTCATACGAAATTATACTACGTAATGTTATAGCAACGGGATTTTGCGATTTTAAGGGAGTACGGTGCAATCTTTCTCAAAGAATATCATAAGGATTCTTCCCTACTTCGATCAGTTGTTATGTGATTTGTCGTAATTGACGTGTGTTAGAGGGATTGTCAAGAGAATCGGCTCAGGTATGTTAAGGCTATCTCTTCGTTCTTTTTGGCATAATCCATACGATACAAACGAAACGAGCAAATGCACAACTTCCATAAATGACTCTATTCATAGAAATTCTAGAGGTGCTTATATTCTTGATTCCCCATATGTCTTATTATTCTA